TGCTGAACCTTGATGTCATCAGCCATGACAGTGTAGTTGTGGAGCCGTGTGCGATATTCCAGATCACTGGCCAGCGCCTGGGCCTTTTTGGCATGGCTCAGGTTAATCATGTCCAGAGGCAAGCTGTACTGGCCCCGGCTCTCCCTGGAGCCCTTTTTGTACTCAATCTGCAGTTGTGATGATAAAGAAAATAAAAAGTTGCATCTAGTTGTACTGTTTGAGTCAGACAACTCTTATAGCTACATTGAATGTTATGTGTGGAAAAAATGTACTCTAACGCCAATAAGTATTGATCAGAATGACTTCTACATACATCACTGCTCATCTTGGCCACTTGAAGAGAGTGCAGGGTCTTGGAGTCGCTCACGTTGACCCCCATTGCCTTCTCCTTGTTCTTCAAATAACTCTCCTTGTATTTAATCTGAAACATATACCTGTCTGAATTAGTTTCATTTGCCAGCAATTACATCTGATAAATTCCACTTAGGTTTTTGTTCAGACATCAGCTCAGTCTCACTCAGACTGTATCTTGTTGCAGTGGAGCAGAATGCAAGTTTGCTTACATCACTGGCAAGGTCTCGGGAAGCCTTAGCTGCTTTGACACTCAGGTTGTCCAAGCTGATGTCCCAGGCTTTAGACTTGGTCTTCTCCCATTCCTCTTTATATTTAATCTGGAGTGACAATAATGGATTATCAAATCATAACTTCATGAATGAGCAGCGATTTGCTATGACCATGTGAACTGGTTTTGGAGTGTGAACGCAGGCTTGTGCGTGCATGTGTGAGAAAGTGTCTGTGTTAACTCACATCACTGCACAGAGCAGCATTGGCTTTGGCCATTTTGATTTGGGGCAGGTCCTGGGATAGTGTGTACTGATGCTTTGTCTTCTCATAGCCTGCTTTGTAATTTAGCTGAAGGACACATTAATGACACATTCAAACACCATGGTTAATCAATTGGAAAGTGCTGATAAGGCTGGTGTTAATCAAAGTGTATATCAGCTTTGTGCAGTTTACTTACATTGCTGACAAGCTGAGCGTTTTTCCTTGCTAAAACAATCTCAGGAGTTTCTGTCACATGACTGTACTTGACCTGGTCAATATGTTGCCTGTAGATCTTCTGCAGTCATACAGACATAAACAATTTCACAAATATGTCTGTCACATAAGGTGATGCAGCTACTAGAGAAAAATATCTTTACGGTTGTGATGTTTAGGTTGCAATTTAAAAAGTCATTTGCATATGTGGGCTACATATTGCATTTCCACTGTAAAAAATGACACTTAAGATTGGGAGTCATTTTGTGAGAACTAACATCTTTTAGTGGGTCCAGTTTCCTTTGACTTTGGTAGCCTGGTGTGATGGTGGCTGGGTAGTTGTATTCACCCTGCTCCTGTTCACAGCCTTGTTTATAAGCAATCTGAAATGTAGAAAAAGACTACAGTGAAATCACTGATACAGAAGCGTTCATTTATTTTTTAATCACAATTTATAATCCTGTCCTTATCAGCTATGCATTAAAGTAAGGAACTGTGCATCTAATAAATATATTATAATGCATTAAATCTCATATGCAGTAGATATATTAATCATTTCTACATTTTTGTCTACATTAAACAATATTAAGAAAAAGATTCAAGTTCAAAATGTCAAAGTAATTAAGAAAAACAATCTAAGCAGAGTTTATGTGGGGGCTATGAAACTATAAATAGCATTTCTAGAAAAAAAAAAGGCTTACATCACTTGCCAGCTTCCTCGCTTTCATGGCATGCATCATCTTTTTATCAATTCCCGAGTCTTCATAGTGGCCCTTCATATCAGCAATGTACTTCTCTTTGTACTTGTTCTTTTAAAAATTTTGAAAGAAAGAGAAAAAAATCAGCATTCAAGGGTTTAATACAACCATAATATCCACAAGCTTACCCGTGTTATATACAGGAAGAGCAAATATATCATTTTACAAGTTATTTGTACTTATAAAAATAAAGTGAAATAAAGGTGTGTCATACTAACATCACTCGTGAACTTGGCAACTTTAGCAGCATTTTGAAACTGTGGTGTCTCACAGAAATTAATGCTGTGACCTTTGCTGTTCTCCAGATCCCTTTTATACTCCACCTGTTAAAAAGGTCAAATAAAAGCAGCAGCTTTGTAATATTTTTCATTGTAATGTCTTTTCATTTGTTCAGACAGTCAAAGCTTATCCTTTCTGGCACCAAGGCGCCAGTCATCTCATTCATCTGCTAAATATACAGAACAATTTGTGTGTCTGCATCATCAGTGACACTCCATCATAAATCAAGAGTTACTGAGATGAACCTTTAATCTTAAATATGCTGTGCCAAGCTTAACACAGACAGTGTGACACCATTAAACGTGACAGCCCCTTTACTACTAAAATATCACACAGGGAGAATGCTGTCACCTTTAACCAGTGAAATTAAACTGGAGTATTGCTCACAGACAGGCAACAACTAGTGGGAGGCCAGATTCATAATACATACTTGTAGGTAAGAGTTATATGTCTACAAGGCCCAGAATAGTTGCCCTGAGTGCAGCACTGTGCTCCTGTCTGAGGTAACATTAGTAACATGTCCCATGTTGCTGGAGGTAAGCTGTAACAGACAGGCATTTCAAAGATGCCTAAAATGCAGGTTGACTGCTGGACACTGACACAGAGTGCCCAATACATCCAGCTCTTAAACAGACACACACTGAGTAGCAACACTTTCATCTGGAAATGCTTTGTCATAAACCTTAGCACATGATATTTATAAAAGCCAACTTCTTGACTGTAGTTCACCTCACTGACAAGCTGGTTGATCTTTTGAACATTCTTTAAAACTAGATTGTCCTCAGATGTCAGACTATGGAAATATTTTAGCTGCAAAGGGATGAAAGAAGATGTAGTGCATGCAAAGTAGGGGGACAGGGTGCTGTGCTACTGTGTGACCCAGAGACTATCAGTACATAATTAAACACACACACATAGAGCCCAATTCGATCAGGGGAGGAGATTTTAAAGACTGACGACATAGGGAGGCCTTCTCATTGTAGTGCATCACTTGTTCTGCACAGTGATGACAAGGTCAGATGATGGATGAAGCTGAAATAATATTGTAACAGCAATTAAAACCAGTTCACATGGATACACAGCTGCTCAGGCTCACTTTTTTACTGCACACCCTTAAAATGTTTGACTCAACATCTGCTGTAGGTACTTCTTGTTAAGGATGTAGAGCACATGTATAGATTGTATAAATTACTGTACTGTAAAGTTGATACTCACATTGCTTGCATGTTCCTGTGCCTTCTTAGCCAGATGATAACTAGGAGTGATCATTGCAGGGAAACTTCCTTTGCCTCGCTGCTGCTCATACTCTTCAATATATGCAATCTGCAGGCAAGGGAGCTCAATTTAGTTCACAACATAATGTAATCCAAGTAATTCATAAAGAACTATAAACTAGTTTCTGAAATGAAATAACGGTGGGATATTCTGGTTACGTAATGTTATCAGTGGCTTCCTTACCTGACTGAAGAGCTCTGCGTTTTCTCTGGCATGAGCTGCTTCAGCTACCGCAGCCTCTGCGCTAGCTTTACCCTTCATCTCCTGTTCATACATCTGACGATACTTTATCTGACAGGACATGAAACCCATTACCAATCATATGTAACAGTGTTTGTATGCATTGGTGTACATTTTTATATTCCCTACTTACATCACTGGCCTGCTCTGTGGCCTTCTTTGACACTTTGTATCCAGGTGTAAGGTGTGCAGGGAAACTTCCTTTACCTCTCTGCTGCTCATACTCTTCTGTATAGGCATACTGGAAGAAGAAAAAGAATGATTCAGGCACACAAAAATGTCTGTTAAGTTGACAGAGTAACTAAAATAGGCTGTGTTTTGTCAGTGTCATCGAGTCTAAAGTCAATTAAAATACAATTAATATTGTTAAGTCATCATGGAAGGCTGAATGAAAAGCTTACATCGCTAACAATTTGTCCTTGTTTCTTAGCCAGAATCACTTCTGGGGGGTCAACAAATGCGGTGTACTTTGAAACTCTTTCCTCGTGTCCTTTTTTATATTCCAGCTGCAGAGAAAGAAAACAAATATGTTAATAGGGCTCCTTGGGTATAAAGTCACAACAGCTACTGACAGAGACACAAATTAAGCTTGGGCTAAACACTGATGTGAATTATGATTACATTCATTTGAGCTTTCTAGTCTAGATAAATAATAAAATTGATCAATTTACATTACTGGCCAAAGTACTGGCTTTCTTCGCAGCTTGATAAGCTGGGGTGATCATGGCAGGGAAGCTGCCTTTTCCTTTCGACTGCTCAAATTCTTCTGTGTGATTCACCTGCCGAAAAAGCACATAATCAATACTGATACATAACAGTTTCATTTTCTTTTTATGTAAGCTATTTAACAGTCCATAACACAATAGCAACATATTTAGGTTTTGCACTCACATCACTGGCAGTCTTCTCTACCTGAGACCTTGTTACTATTTCCTGGTTGGTCATCATCCCTGAATACCATGTCTGCTGCTGTGAGAACTGCGACTGAGACTGAAAGGCCTGTTTGGATACAGAAGACAAAGTTAATCATTTTTAGACATTCACGGGACAGATCATACTCTCCTCAAGCCTCCCAGCCCTGTCTACTTCTTCTTTAGTTTATATCCATGAAGTGGTAAGAACTGGCACTCCTTTTAATTTAGTGCAAATACACTAACAGCACACAACTAACACTGGATTAAATTCAAGTCCTATAGCAAATAGAATGTGATTAAATTCAATTTATTTGTACAGCACCAATTCACAACAACAATCGTCTCAAGCCACTTTACATAATAAGGTTTAGACCTTACACTATTATATGGAAAGGAGAGGAGATGGTGTTTTATACATTAACACCTACTGTACAAACTACTAAAAGACTGCAAATACCCTCCACAATCACTAAAATCATAAAATATAATCAGTTCCCAATATTTCTAAATCCAATCCAATTCAATCTTAATTTTGATCATTTTATGTAACATCTGGAATTACTGCACAAAATTACTATTTGTAAAGGTAAATGATACTAGGAACAAAAAAGTGGAGAAGTAGGATTGTTTAATTCATATAGATTACCGGTATATAGATTTTCTTATTTGTGTAAAGGTCAGAATTTGAACTGGAACTCCCTTTAACTGGGTTTAACAGCCATTCGCTCTGCTGGGAGCTCACCTGGCTGGCCATCTGATTGGCTAGACGAGCCTTCTCCAGCTCCATGGACTTCATGTCTAAGTGGAAGGTGGACATAAAGCGCTCGCCATCTTCACGATACTTCAGCTACAAATGCACATAGATGACAAGCATTAAGCCAAGGCCGGCACGCATTTGCACATGCGCACACTAGTCTTGTGTTTGCAGCATTCACTTTAGAATGCATAAAATAATCATACTAAAAACTGTTAGCCCCAGCTGATATTAGTCTGCCACCAGACTTATGCTGTCAGGTTGAACCCAGACAATCTGCACCTCACATGCTTAATGATGAAGGGGTAATATTAGGGTGTTCTTATTAATACTGTAACTGAGATGTCCCAATCAAGATGAAGCTGGACCTGCCAAAAAGATCCAAAATAGGGCACAGAGTGATGAGACTGAGCTGTTTGCTAAGGATCCTTAAATTGTAAAAATGTTCAAAACTAAAATAAGAATGGCTGGACACCAGGAAATAAGGGAGAGAACTTGCTAACAATAAACATTTGGTACAACTTTCTGAAACTCAAGGTAACCATATCTAGAAAATAGTTAAAAGCTAAGCGCTACATTTTTGCCAAAATAAGATATTTTAGGTGTTCAGCCAGACAGGGCTGAGGGTCACTCAGTGTGGCGTGAAGTCAGCCATCAGATCAGATATCACCCCAACCAGTCCCATAACTCTCTGGTGGCATAAAGCAGTAGCTGATGAGCTTGCTAGCCTACTGCTAATATAAGCATAGCATGAACATGTAGCCACAGACAGACTCAGACAGACCAGAACAGGTGGCAGGGCAGGGGAGAGGACGGGATGTGAGGCTGTTTTTCCTGATGTATAATTTTAGCCCCCTGAAACACAAAGTTGGCTAACCGGGGGGGGGGGGCGCGTCGGCTCGGTCACAC